GGTAGGGGGAAGCCCTGGGGAACTGTTTGCCCTTGGCCTAGCGGCCTCGGGCAAACAGTTCCCCAGGGCTTTCCCCTACCTCGGGATGATAGTCTTGACTGTTCCCCAAATAGCCATGAAACAATTGTATACTGGTATTAAATATTTAATGAAAACCAATACAATTGAAATTGTACACAACAATACCATAAGTGTTCTAGGACTATATACATATGGAGATTACATGCCAATGAGTTTGATGTATAGTGCATAGTTCAGTTTCTGGTTTTATAGATAAAATGATACTTTGGTATCTTTTCATTTTCAAAATTTATCTCAGCTTTATACTTAAGCATATCTATACCTTGGACATCAGTTTGTACAAGATCATGTTCTTGCTGTGGTGCTGCTACATGGCCAGTACTGTCTGGAGTGTTAACTGGGACTGAAGTGGGCTGGGGATCCCCCATATCATTGCTCAGTTCAGTGCTGTGTCTTGACAATAAAGAAATGAAGAAATTATTTTATTATGGCTTTTCAAGACTTAACAATTTAGGTGTAACCGTAATTATTTACAATATGATCTCAATCAAGTCAATGTATTCCTCTTTTGATATATCACAATATTAAGACACGGAGAATGGGTTGAAAAAACCACCATTGGTTAGAAACTAGAAAGGGATACATCTTTCAATAAAATCAATCACTTACAGTATAACTACATGCCCTGGATTAATTTATATAAAAAATCTCACTTTAGAATGTCTATTTCAATTTGTATGTATGCACACTTGACATTTTGGGAATAACAATTTGTTTATCAAAATGTTTAAACACCAAGGTATAAAGAAGTTATTTGATTATAGCTTATCTGATTCACTGCAACATATTTCCTGTCAGGACAATACTTTCTACTTGGAAAATCTATAGCACTGAAAAACTGATCATAATTACAAATGTACTGATACATAAAATACTATTATGGTCAAATTAACTCACCCAACAGAATGCCTGAGTCTCCAATGAAGGCGGCACTTTTTATTTCTCCTCCATTAGCTGGCAAAGGATCGGGGTATTCTTCTGATGGTCCCAACTCACTCATAAAATGCTGAAACAAACCAGAAGTGTATATGACTTGTAAAATCAGAATGAAAAGGGAGGTGTGGCTTTATAAACATAACAAAATTAGATATATCATGAACAGTATCATGACAAATTAATAGTTTCTTCTTTGGATTGTTACATATTTTTCATGGATTTTTTTGCATGTCACTTGCAACCACTATATCAGTGACATAGCATAATATTTTAGATAACAACCCTACCGTCTGTGTATTTTTCTTTATCAAGAGTACTGTGATATCGTCCTTCGAATTTTTGGCATCTCGTTTATAACATTTGCGTTACAGTAAAGACGTCTGCATTCGATATGCACTCTGTCCCCGGGAGAGGTAATTATATTATCACCACGTATATCACTGGCACTATTTATCCCGCTGCTCCCTTTCCCACCAAGAACATTTGTGGTCTGGTCATCGTCAATTGGTACTTGACATATAGAGCAGGTTTTCTAAAATGGATAAAAAAAATCATGAGAAGCATTGCATGTATTCATGAAATATTATATCATTTAAATAGTTTTTCAAAATACCATCAATTATATTTTCTGATTTAAATCGATTCACTGATATCATATAATCGATTCACTGATATCATACAATCAATTCACTGATATCAAACAATAGATTCACTGATATCATACAATCGATTCATTGATATCATACAATCGATTCACTGATATCATACAATCGATTCACTGATATCATATAATCGATTCACTGATATCATACAATCGATTCACTGATATCATATAATAGATTCACTGATATCATATAATAGATTCACTGATATCATACAATCGGTTTAATGATATTACATTTTATGAATACATGCAATGCTTCTTATTAAAAACTTTATCTATTTTAGGAGTGAGTGAGTGAGTACTCGAGAACAGGGGTTTAACGTCTTCTTTACAACCAGGATCATATGCCGACGGTATTATTGATGCATGGTACATGTAGTATATATGTGCTTTGGACTGCTTGTCATGGCGCGATTTCAGGCCGTCTTTATAGTGCCAGCTCACTGTAAGTACAGTGACGCATGTACCCCACCCAGACACATTATACTGATTCAAGTCAGGCTAGTCGTTGCGCTATCCCCTTAATACCATGCGGGGATGCCACAACTACCAAATTTACGTCTTTGGTATAACATTGTACGCGTCCGGGATTGAACCCCCCCCCCCTCCCGACTCAGAAGCGAACGCTGTCTGTTTTTAGGAAAAAGACCACCTGTACTATATAAATTATCAAATGATATCACAAATTCGAATTCATTATATCATGAAAAAATCACGTAGACCAAGCAATTTTCATGTTTTTAATAATAAAATTTTAACCGCGATTTTTCAATTTTATCGTTATATTGCAGGTATGGGCTTCCGTAGTTTTTTTCTCTCGGTCAAATTGCGGTTCAATAGTATNCGACGGAAAATGTAAATTCGTAACGGATCAAAATTTTCATGTTTTCATCATACATAAGCATCTATATATGATATATCTATTAGTTCACTTACCATTAGTAGTGAAACAATCCACGGAAAAAGATGTACGCTGAAAATACCGGCGTTCTTCTGTTTATCTCATTCCACCATAGTTCGTATATTACCTCCCCTTAGGAACTCTTTCGTGTGACGGTGGCCCGTACAGGCCATACATTCGTTTGCTAATTTAACATTTTTTTATCACAAAATTTGAATATTTCCCATCGTTTGAATTTTGAGATTTTTTATATGTTGTTTAAACACGTCTCTTATATATTCTCAACTAAAAATATTTTCTGTTGCAATTTGTTTGAGGTGAAACCATAGAATGACTAGACTATGAGTAATATTGTGAATATATGTAACACCAACCTTCTGTGATTTTTCTAAAAACAACATCGAGATCACATGATTGAATGCTCCCTGTACATGCCGTGTACTCTCGTTAAAGTCTAACGGTAAACAGTAAACAAGTATCTTCTACTTTCATTTTGTTGACATAGGGGCATGTAATACAGCTGTAATGTAAACAACTAATGGGTCAACAAAATGTTGGTTTTATTAAGATTAAAGATAATAATTGATATGTGTTTGCTGCTTGCACACCCGCAACTCTTTATATGCGTATGATTTAAACCAGCAGGACACAAGACATCAGAATAAGAAAAGATGATTCCGCTGTGCATGCCCCTGTGTTGTTGGCCCGACAGCTCTTATGTTTACACAGTGTCATAACAAGTTTTGCTCGAGATATATTAAAAACATATGAATGAAATTGAGGATTATGTGAGTATTGCCTGTTTGGTCAACCATATACTCTGCTTTACTACATTATATTTTCTAATATCGGGATATAATAATAATAATTACAATAAGTTTATATAATAATACTAATTATTTTGTAAATGACCCTAGCGACTAAACAACAACTGTTCTGAGTACATCTTGACTAAATTAGATGAACAGACCACATGGGCTATGTGAACAATGTTTACTTGCCGAAATATACGCAATTTAAATTCCAATTTAATCCGCCTTGCTACTTCCAGTCGCCATTTTGTAAACAGGACCTAATCTCGAGCTGATGCGCGTTTGAAAGAGTTTTAAGTTTTGCGAAGCTTCTAAACGATCGTGCCCAGAACATACTCTCTAAGTTGGATGTTTTTGATAAATTTACTATCAATTATTTACTTTATTTCTTTTCTGTATCACTTTCATTGATTCATAAAAGAACAAATTTATTTTTTCCCCTTCAAACTTATTTCTTTCAAATGTTAAAACACATTTTTTGGGGGAAAAAATCTAGTTTCCAGATAATGATCAAACGTCGTCTGCTTCGCAAACATTCAAGAAAATAATATTCAATGTATCAATATTGTTTTTGTTAACTAGTTTATTCATTAAACTATCTTTTATAATAAATATCAAATATATTTTGCATTTTTTGACGTAACCGGAAGCGCACTTGTTACGAGAACGTGACCCGGAAATACCTCGCAACATAATCAGGATGGTAAATAAAAAACTGACGTGTATCGAACATTAATAGATTAATACCGTATGTATTGAGACACTGATGTGCTAGGATACAACACAAGGTAACATTCATTTAATCCATTGCTACCACATCAAGTTCTAATTGAAACTATGCGAAAATATCAGCATTAAATGTTTGCGATCGTGCAGACCTACTTTCGTTTTACCAGTTTACAGTTTACTACATTTGTACTATTCCGAATTATTCTGACGTTTTATCGACTTTTTTCATATCGGTTTGTCGTCGATTAACGTCAGAACTCCGGCCCTCTATAATATGCGGGAAATATGCGACCCGCGCCCGGAGCGCACTTCAAACTGATATTTTAGAAACAAATCGTCACTTTCACACACATGTCGCACA